GTGACAAACAAAACTCCTTCTTCTCCATATAACCCTGATGCTTATTGGACACTAGGTCAGGCGTCCTCTTTGGTTCATTTGAAGTCATGTTCAACAGCTGTGTCTGTGCACTATTTAAGTTTTTGAAAAAGGACTGCCAAAGCTGATTTTTAGTTTTAGGCATGTAGGAGTTATTGAAATGTCTCCAAAGCCTTTCTTTTCTTTTCTTTTCTTTTCTTTTCTTTTAAAGAGACAAGGTCTTGCTCTGTTGCCCAGTCTGGAATGCACAGTAATAGCTCACTGCAGTCTCGAACTCCTGGGCTCAAACAATCCGATCCTCCTGCCTCAGCCTCCTGACCACACTAGGCTAATTTAAAAAAAAAATTTCTTGTAGAGACAGGGTCTTGCTATGTTGTCCAGGCTGGTCTCAAACTCCTGGCTTAAGCTATCCTCCCATCTCGTCCTCCCAAAGTGCTGGGATTATACGTGTGAGCCACCGTGCTTGGCTTCCAAAGCCTTTTGTGGGTGAAGTCTCAACTTCTCAGAGCAGTGGAGCTGACAGGCTTTATTCATACTAGTACAGGCCATCTAAGCATGAACTTGAAATAATTTATGCCTGGCTTCAAGGCATAAAAGATTTCTTTTATTCACCCCCAAAAGAAGACTCCTTTCATTAAAGGCAAAACCAACTTTGCACATCTCATGAATTTGCTGCTGCTGCTTCAATTTCAGCTTTGGATAGATCTTAAAGTATTGTTATGGATTGTATTTTCCCTGTTGTTTTGGAAAACAATTAACTTAGGACTTTTCCAGTAATAGTAGTGAAAGTTTCAGAACACAGTGCTAATAATAATTGTGACCCAGTAATGGGAACTTCCGAATTGGCAGGGAGAATGCAGTACCGCTGTAGGCCAGAGGAGGGCAGAAGCGGATAACGTTTAAAGGAGGCCTCCTTTTTTGCATTCACTGTTGACTCCTGGAAGACTCTGATCAAAAAACAGCAGGTGTCCCCATACAGTTTAGTTTAATTGCAGACCTCTTTTTTTCCTTAAAGAAAATAAATATTTTTTTCATTAGATTCTGGTGCATTGTAGTCAGGGAGTACTTACACCTCCCCACCCCTCCCAAGTTCCTGCTTGCATGCGATAGGTTTTTGCTTCTTGGAGTTTCATAACTGAGTTTGCCGTTCTCTTACAGAAAAGTCATCTGTTTCTAACTGTTCCATACCCAGGGAGCTTGAGTTTTAATTATGTTTCATTATCTGAATTAAAGTTAGTAAAGAATAATTTCTTCCCTCGCAACGTGGTCCTGAGACCACTGAGTTTCGTTCCATTGCAATTATGGTAACAGGTACTAGGACATTGTTACCTAGGGCTGATATTGAATTTTGAGACCTTTCTGTCCTGTCCTGACCACTAACCTAAAGCCCTAGTGCTGTCTGCAGGGTACTGGGCTTGTGTCCTCACAGGGCTTACAGCCTGGTAGGGCAGAAAGACAGGAAATAAAGACAGAAATGAAATAGTGGCAACTTGTTCCTAGGAGGGGCACAGACAGGGTGCTGTGAACCAGGGGTAGTGGAATGTAGGTTGCTTTAGGGGGGTGACCAGGGTCAGCCTTTCCGAGGAAGATACATCTTTCCCTGGTCTGAAGGATAAAGACAGGTCGCTGTAGGTTAAGAAGGAAGGTGGGAGGGATTGAGGGGCAGGAGGGAAGAGCTGGCTCATCTGAGCACCTGAGAGGCCAGTGGGAGGGGCGCCAGGCAGGATCAGAGTCTTCTGCAAGGGCCAGGTCGTGAGGGCCTTTCGTTGGCTGCATTAGGAGTTTCCATGTTGTAGTGAAGCAGTGAGACACTGAAAGGTATAAGCGTGGGAGAGACATATTCTGAATTTTTAAAAGGTCGCTCTGCTAGAGAGACACAAATAGCTTGATGGTAGGACGGGGGAGGGTGGGAGCTGGGAGACATTTAGACTGGAGGGTCTGCAAACTTTTTCTGTAAAGGGCCAGTAGTAAGTATGGTTAGCTCTGTGGGTCAGGGAGTCTCGGTCACAACCATTCAATTCCGCCATTGTGGTGCGGAAGCAGCCACAATGTAAATGAATGGGCATAGCTGTGTGCCAATAAAACTTGTAAAAATGGGCACCCGGCCATAGTTTGCCACCCCCTGGGTTAGATTATTACAATGATGCCGGCAAAAGATGACATTGGCAGGGTGTCTAGGGTGGTAGCGGTGGAGATAGAGAGCAGTGGAGAGGCTGGCAAGAGGTTTTGGAGGTATGATCCACTGCACTGGGTTGGGAGAGGATGAGGGTGGGGATTGAGGATAGTTTTTAGCCTCAACTGGTTAGTGGGAAGAGTTGCTGTTTGCTGAGATGAGGAAGCACCAAGAGAAACAGGCCCTGGGGTGGGGTGGGAGGACAAGAGTTCAGTTTGGGACTTGTTAAGTTTGAGTAATTGTTGAGCCACCCAAGATGTCAAGGACAAGTGGCTTCAAAGCTCAAAGGTGCTGGGAAGAGAGGGCAGGACGAGAAGTCGATTGTGGATCCATCCAGGTAGCTGAAGCCAGAGAAGATGGTGGATTCTGGAACTGGTCCCACCGTGATTCCTTCCTCCCCAACATCCAGGTCATTCCACTCAGTGCTTAAGTTTCATTCTTTTTTTATTTTTAGACAGGGTCTGGCCCTATTGCTTAGGCTAGATAGAGTACAGTGGCTCATCCTAGCTCACTGCAGCCTTAAACTCCTGGGCTCAAGTGATCCTCCCACCTCAGCCTCCCAAGTAGTTGGGACCACAGGTGTGTGCCACCACACCCAGCTAATTTTTCTATTTTTAGTACGGACAGGGTCTCGCTCTTGCTCAGCCTGGTCTCGAACTCCTGAGCTCAAGGGATCCTCCCACCTCAGCTTCCCAGAGTGTTAGGATTACAGGTGTGAGCCACTGCACCCAGCATTAAGTTTTACTCTTGATTAATGTTCCTTAACTCTGTCTTGTTTTTCTCGTTAAATTCTGAGCTCCATAGGAGCATATTGTCATAAATTCTTCCCACCACCGCACGTGTAGTGTTGAGCATGTGGTAGATGCTCAAATGCTAGAGAATTCATTTTAAAATCCGTCTAAGTCTTTAAATATGGTGAGGATGAATGAGTTAAGGTGAATTTTATCCTGGTCTAAAGTAAAATGTTTAAATAACTTTATTGGAAGCAGTTGTAAGTTACATTGACATTTATTGAAGGATTACACTGCCAGGAGTATTCATGGGGCTTTTGGTACTGTTTCCGAACGCCAGCATGTTTTAATAATACTGATTTAATTCTAGCAGTGCTAATATGGCAAGACTGTGCAAATGCATGCAGGTGTGTGTATGTTATACATGGAGAGAGAGCGAGAGCTCACTATTTCAATCCAGGCAGAGCCAGGTGGCTCTTACCTCTTTCATATTATCACTGGATTTGAGTTCTACTTTCTAATTGAGACCACTGGTGGAAACTAGCCTGTCTTGCTCCTCTAGGGTCTATATTCTGTATCTTTCTATCTGCTTATGAATCCCCTTCTCTTTTCTTTCTTTCTTTTTTTTTTTTTTGAGACAGAGTTTCACCGTATCTGGTAGAGCCCTGGTAGAGCGCAGCGGAGTCATTGTAGTTCACAGCAACCTCAAACTCCTGGCCTCAAATGATCCTCCTGCCTCAGCCTCCCGAGTAGCTGGGACTACAGGAACATGCCACTGTGCTGGGCTAATTTTTTCTATTTTTAGAAGAGACAGGGTCTCGCTCTTGTCCAGGCTGGTCTCAAACTCCTGACCTCAAGTGATCCTCCCACTTCAGCCTCCCAGAGTGCTAGGATTACAGGCGTGAGCCACCGCGCCGAGCCCCCTTCTCTTTTTTTTAAGCTCCCCTTGACCTGGCTTTCTTCTCCGTTCCTGATGCTCGGCCTTGCTGGCTCACCAGTTTATCGGGCTATGTCACACTCCATCCCTTTCTTCTTATTTCACTTTATTTACTGTTTAATTTACTTTTATTTTACTTTCTAGTTTTCATTTTTTCTTCCCTTTACTGCATCTTCCTCTTAAATGTACCATAATTTTCTTCTGACTCTTTAACAGCTTTATTGAGGTTTAATTTGTATTAACGTATTATAAATTTTACCTATTTTAAGCATACAATTCAATGATTTTGAGCATATTTTACAAACCTCAGTTCTTGTGCTCGGTATATCACGAGTTTTTCTCTTAGTTTCTATACCATGGAAGATGTTTGGTCATTTGTGTCTCTGTTTTGTTTTTCATTCCCAGCTGGGAGGCACCATCGGAGACATTGAAGGGATGCCGTTTGTGGAAGCGTTCAGACAATTCCAGTTTAAGGCGAAAAGAGAGAATTTCTGTAATATCCATGTTAGCCTTGTCCCACAGGTGGGCTTTCCAGATAAGTATGTGGCTAGCAATTTTGATACGTTTTCCTATGATATTCTATGTGTCCCAGGTTTGAAACTGGGAAGCCGTTAATAATGCAGAACAGCTAATGTCCCATGTCCTGATAGGAACTCCTTTGTTTTCAGCCCAATGCTACTGGAGAACAAAAAACCAAACCCACGCAAAACAGTGTCCGCGCGCTGAGGGGGTTAGGCCTGTCTCCGGATCTGGTGAGTTGAGGACAATGGATAAGTTCATCCCAAAGGTCACTTGGAACAGGACCTCAATTTCTTAATCAATAGCATCATGTAAGTCCTTGGGAGCTCTCAAATGGCTCCTATGACAATGAGCTTTTTGTATCTGGGAGCCAGGAAAGGCTTATTCCTTTATCCTCAAGTGTTGCTTAAATTGGCCATTTGTTCTTTCCCAGGCACTCATTTGATGGGCCACATTGACAGGTGGACAAATGTGATGTCCTGTCATTTATATGATTCCCGAACCCTTTAGAGTGAAGGGGGGACCTTGGGCTTTTCCTGTGACCCCACTAGGATGGGCTATCACTGCTCTTATTTTTAGTATAAACAGTAATGTGTCCTTATAGCAGGTAATCCCGTCGTTGCCAATAGTCTACATCAGGCATCGGCAATTAAGGGCCAGCAGGTCAGCTGCCTGTTTTTGTAAATAAAGTTTTATTGGCACACAGTCACACCCGTTTGTGTGTGGCTTGTCTGTAGCTGCTTTCATACTGTGTTGCTCCGTAAATTAATATAACTATATTAGAAACATAAACGGTGCCAGGAGTTTTGCAGAGCTTTGCCCTGAAGGAATATGTGAACGTGTTAGTTTGCATACAAAAGCTGTTTCACCTCAGGAGGGCATCTCAAAGATCATAGCGGGGCTGTTTCCCAGGTTGGCGCTGGGATCCTCAGCAGCTGGGATCCTCAGCACCTGTAGTTCTGACTTGCTTTGAAAGGCAAAACAGGTCTGCTAGGAGCCACAGGGTGAATGCTGATCAAAGACAGACAGACACACCTGTGGCTAAAAGCAATTAGCCCAAGGGACAGTTCCTGCTTAAGCTCCTGACTACCTGTCTCAATACACAGTAACTTGATAAAGAAAATATGGAGCCACTGTATCTCTGTTTAACCCTTCTGTTAAGTGATAAATTTACCTTAGAACTTAGAAGTTAGTCTTTGAAAGATTTTGTAACCATTGTTCACGTAGATAGAGTTAGTTAAGGGATCTGAAGAAGCCTTTTGAAAAACTTTTAACCTAAGATGAACTACCTGTTAGGATGTAAATCTGTTACCCCTGGCAACCGATCACTGTACCTATAAATGCCCATGTAAAACTTCACTCTTGGCCTTTGTGATTGACGGAGATATCACAGGTCCCCTGAGTATCTCGCTTTTGTCTTTTATCTTTATAAATCTATAAAACTATACCTCGTCTCTGTGTATTCTTTTATTTCTATTATTTTTCATTTTCTATTATTTT